CCGAGAACATCGAAAGGATATGATGTGATATGGGTGATAGTGGATCGGTTATCTAAATCTGCACACTTCTTACCTATGAAAGAGTCATATTCGATGRAGARATTARCRAAGTTGTACCTTGATGAGATAGTGACACGACATGGAGTTCCATTATCAATTGTTTCTGATAGAGATAGTCGCCTCACTTCTATGTTTTGGAAAAGTTTTCAGAGAGAGATGGGTTCACAGATTAAATTGAGTACAACTTATCATCCTCAAACTGATGGACAGAGTGAACGAACTATCCAAATGTTAGAAGATATGTTGAGATCTTGTGTTATTGATTTTGGAGGGTCGTGGGATGGTCATTTAACTTTGGTTGAATTTGCAAACAACAATAGTTATCATTCGAGTATTCAGGCATCACCTTTTGAAGTTTTGTATGGACGAAAATGTCGAACTCCTTTATGCTGGAATGAAATAGGTGAAAGACAGTTAGTTGGGCCTGAGTTAGTTCAGCAAACTGCAGATAAAATTGGGGTAATACGAGAACGAATGAAAGCRKCRCAAGATAGACAAAGAAGTTATGCAGATAAACGTCAGAAACCGATTGAGTTCCAAATAGGTGATAAAGTGATGTTRAAAATATCACCATGGAAAGGTATAGTACGTTTTGGGAAGAGAGGGAAGTTAAGTCCAAGATATGTCAGACCATTTCCTATTATTGGGAGAGTTGGGGAAGTGGCCTATAAGTTAGAATTTCCGGTAGAATTAAGTGGAATACATGACACGTTTCATGTGTCAAATTTGAGGAAGTGTCTAATAAATCCAGATGTGGCAGTACCACTACCTGAGATTAAGGTAGATGAAAAGTTATGTTTTGAAGAAACTCCTGAACAGATTACTGATTATAAGGTGAAGAAATTACGAAACAAAGAGATTGAGTTAGTAAAGGTTCAGTGGCGTTATCATAAAGGGTCAGATGCCACCTGGGAACCAGAGTCGGAAATGCGGATGAAATATCCTTACTTGTTTGCTTAAGTGAATTCCGGGACGGAATTCTTTTAACGGAATTCATTTAAGGAGGGAATATTGTAATAGTTTGGTTATCATTTTAGTTATATATATGTATGTATATATTTATTTATAAATATATATATATATATATATGATATATGTATGTATGATATGTGTGTGTGTGAGAGCATATAATTAAAGAAAAGAAGGGAGAGGGGTCGGCTATTAAGCCGCCTCTCAAAGTCCTTGTGGGTGTGCATGTATATATATAGTTTTTGATGAAAAGAAACACACACATACACATACTTCAATTTCAAAACTCTCTGAAGAATCTGAAGTTTGCATATCAGGAAGAAGGAGAAGAAGGTTTTAAAGCTTTGATTCTCATTTCTAAAAGGTGAGTGTATAGAGCTTTGAAATATGAATTGCTTATATATGATTTGATAAGCATGTATGGAACTGGTTATTATGAATTAAATGGTATTTTATGCTGATTCTTGAATAAACCGGCCAAGTGGTGTCCGGATTGTAATCCGGATACTTAAACCGGTTGTGCTTTGACCGGATATCTTTTAAACCGGACAAGAGGTGACCGGATATYGTCTAAACYGGCCAAGGGTTGTGCGGTGTATTGASCGRATTGTTTTAAACCGGTCAAAGGTTGAATTATGTATTGTCCGGTTTAATCTAAACCGGAGGACAAAGAAAGTGAAGTGGTGTCCGGATTTCTAAACCGGACAAAGATGATTATATTTTCAAGTGTTTATAATGACCGGATTGCTAAACCGGACAAAGAGTTGGTTTATTTTTAAAGAATGTTGTCTGGACTTCTAATCCGGACAAGTCTGACCGGACTTCAAGTCCGGATAAAAAGAGATGTTTTTAAAAGAATGTTTTTGGAATGATATATTGAGCAGTGTTAACTGCGTGTGAGATGGCGGTGTAACCGCGAGAGTGATATGAGCAGTGTTAACTGCGTGTGAGATGGCGGTGTAACCGCGAGAGTGATATGAGCAGTGTTAACTGCGTGTGAGATGGCGGTGTAACCGCGAGAGTGATATGAGCAGTGTTAACTGCGTGTGAGATGGCGGTGTAACCGCGAGAGTGATATGAACAGTGTTAACTGCGTGTGAGATGGCCGTGTAACCGCGAGAATGATATGAGCAGTGTTAACTGCGTGTGAGATGGCGGTGTAACCGCGAGTGAGAAAGAGATATGAGAATGAGATGGCGGTGTAATCCGCGAGAAACATAAATATACTTATGTTTCGGAACAAGTTTGATTCTAAACTGAATGTGTGGAATATATATYGTTGTATGAGATTATACACTCACTAGACCTTTTGGTCTAACGCTCAGATGTTGGATTAACCTGTTTTGCAGGACAGCGTGCTCTGAAAGATAAAGGCAAGGGAAAAGTCTAATTGTTGATATTAGCTTGTTATGCATATGTATTAAAAATACATTTTGATAGTTCATGTTTTGTAATAATACTATTTTAGTATTATGAGAATGATGATGTGGATTATATGTATTTGAGATGTGAGGGTTGTTACAATATATGTTCCATTACTTCATGAAAAACACATATGATGAACTTTTTGTATTTTCTTCCTACTTTCTTAGGTTGATGTGAGTCCTTTTCAGGTTAGTTTACAACAATTTAATTAAGTATTGTATCTTATTTGGTTAGAAATCCTTGACTTCATGTATTTACATAAAAAAGGAAAACTAAAAAAAAATTATAAATATCGTCCTATCGATGTATAAAATTTTGAATAAGGTCCATCAAATGAAATGATTACATAGATAGTCACTATAGTTTCATTTTCATTTTCATTATGAATCGTGCTAACCTTGCTAAATAAAGAGATTTTGGTCTTTTTACCCCATTAATGTAACACCCCTAAGATGGAAGTAAATTTAAACCATAAAATCGATACAAAATAAATACCTAAATACAATTATCACTTAAGATGGGAAAACTATAAAGCTTTATGATAAAATGGAATAGATGATAATTAACAACTTACTAACTTAAAATAGGCTAAGTTCAAATTATGAACGTGTGTTACTATCATCATCAAAAGAAACCTGCCAAAATATGATGCCAAGTTGACAAAAGCCATAAACCCCAAAAAGTGCTTCTACTAGCATCCATCCGCTAAAGCCTACAGAATCCCATCGCTAAAAGATCCTAGTATATATGTCCTTTTGAAAAAGTATTAGGCTTAATACCTAGTGAGTCCAAACAGTTTATAAATAATCCAAGTAATCAATAGAGATAAAAGTTTACAACCTTGATCAAACCCCCAAGTTCACATATTTCAATTAAGGGCCATAATTAAGGGACAAAACACATCTCACGACAATGGATAGTAGCGGAACATAAAAGTAGACTACAATCCTATGTTATAGAATCACAATAATGATCAATGGCCATTGAATTCAACCAATCGTGATCTAAAGCTCAAGGCCCCCTATGATCTTAGTTATACTCATTCGCTTTAAATTACACCATATGGTTTATGACCTGTATTCGGCTCTAAGAGTATGTACCATATGCCCCCGATGACCTAATGCCTATTTCTAGTTACAAAATGGGAAAACCATCCCGTTTCAAATGAAACCGACTCCTATACCTATGGATCTATTGCATTTCAGTCTAATATTTGTTACAACTTAAAAATGACCAACTATAATCGCACATATAGCTTTCATCATTCAAGTATCTTCATAAAAATCATTTCAACACAAGATTTACCAAATAGGTCTAAGTTCTCATAACTCCCAATAAACCATTTTCTATCCCAAGAACAATAACATATTCATCATCTTTTCCAAGAGTTCATAAGTTCAAGAATAAGTTCGATGTACAAATAATAATACTCTTTTTAAGAAAGTAATAATACTTCTCTTTTCTAAATTATGACCATTTTCTGTTAAATACTTTCAAGTATGTAAAAAAAAACCCAAGCATAATCATAAATCATAAGGTTCAAGTCCCATAATAACATTTATGTACCTAAAACACAATGTTATAACATATTCTTGAAGATCCTACATTTACCAGCAAAAAAGGTATAAAAAAACCCCAAAATTGATCAAAGTCCAAAATTATGTGAAATACATCAAGAGGAATGTTTAAAATACCACATTTGGACATGTGTAAAATTTAAAAATGGTTAGGATGAACTCATAAATAGGCTTTTAAGAAAACCCTAGTACCAAGTCAAAAATGGTAGGATGGTGGTGAAGATCTTGAGCTTTAATCCACAAGACTTGAACCCTAGATCCAAGGCTCTTAAATGCTCTTAAAGTTTTTGTTGGTGATATAAATGTTTATAACGAAATGAAAGAGGGTAGAAATGAGTTCGTGGAAGAGATAATGAAGCGAAAAGCAAAAATCTCGGTTTGAAAGACCTGCATGCCGACGTGACAATATACCGTGACTTAAGGTCGAGTGGGCAGGTCGTGCACGCTCACCCCCCCCCCCCAACTTTCATGATTTTCTATTTTAGGTCCCCGAGCGTGAAGAATTTTTTGCGGTCGCGAAACATGTTGAAATATTTTGGGTTTTCTTGATTAACTATACCCAAATACAACCAACTCAACATTCATTCTAAGAGTTATTTTGAATGACAATTATGAATATAAAACCCAAAAATGAACATACCAAAAATTTGGCTGTTACAATTAAGTTTAAAACAATTTTACAGTACGAGTTAGGTACTGCCACATGTCCTTCATAAAAGACCAAAATACTTCTCACTTTGCAGAATTTTTGATGGAGTTAGCAAGAGGGACCTCATCCGTAGTAAAATTATTTCACTTGATGGATCCGATCCATAATTTTCATTTAAAATTTGTCATTTACTCGAAACTAAATAAAAGAATGAATGAAATACATTTTCCAAAAACCTATGATTTGGTGTTTTTAATGGATCATTTCCACTCATCAATAACAGTTATGTTCATGAACAAGCTACAATGAAAATGATACAAACAAACTAATGCTTATTTAAACCATTACTGCATGCAATTGCCTATACTTTCAACTGTAACAATTCCACAAATTTTCAAGTAAAAAAAGATAAAAAGGTATTTTTCACTCTCAAGTTGGATGCTTTACAACAGTTCACATCTTTGCTTGCTTTCATTTTTAACATCAACAACTTATTATTATTTCCTCTGTGCTTTCTATTTTTGTTTCTCCAAAAATAAATTTCCACTTTCAAAAGTGAATGTTTATTTTCTGACTCCGATCTAAATTATGAGATTGAAAAAACTACTACTACCTCTATCATTATGGGGGAAATTGTTATTTAGCTATTTAAAAAGTAATATATAATATATTTATAAAAATGTGTGTCAACATGGGCATTTATTTTCCGGTTAGTGCTACCCAATTTGTGTTGGTAAAACCGTAAACAGGCCTTAGTTTTGTTGTCATGGTTCTTCTCCTCAAAATGCTATGAAAGTTTCCAACTTATTTGTATATTTTATGTCCACAATTTGAAGAGTGTGAGATTGGTTTTAGACTTTTGGGGGTGTTTTTTTCACTCTGACGGATTACATGTCAATACATCTTTTGTAGTGAGGTTTAGTTGTATATTACTCGTAATCTGCTTGTTCTTGCAATGCTCATAACTTGTTTAAAGCTTTTTATGAAATTGGTCGATAACTATAACATTCGAGGTAGCATATATTGAAATAGAGAGTTAGGCGACCGGATATGCGAACAGGGTCTTAGTTGAGGTAAGATATATTGAAACAAAGAGTTAGGCGACCAAATATTCGACTAGGGTCTTAGTTGTGGTCGCATATATGAAGTTCTAAGTGAGTTTTGGGGATGGGTGATCGGTTATATCGCACACCGTTAGACAAAGGAATTGGGCCACAAAGCAAGTACACAATACGGCTCAATGTCGTCTTTCCAAGTAATAAAGTGGTACAAGTACCAGAATATCGTCCACGGAGATTGTAGCCAAAGTTGAATGAGAGTCCAATGAAGGAGATGATTTCAGATGATGATTTTGAAGACTTCAATTTGATATTAAGGTGAATTAAAACAGAATACAGAATATATAAAGGTAGCGAGAGTGTAAGACTTAAGGTAAGACCCAAACACAAATTCCAGTAGCCAATGCTGTAGGAATGCTACAACAAGCAGCGTTTCGAAACTAAGTTCCACCATCTATTTTGAAGGCATTCCTTTCGGACTTCACCATTGCACTATATTATAGCTTTCTACCCATATCTTTATGTGGTGTCCGGACCAGGGATAGTGACACGATGATGTTTTCAAAATATATGAATAAACAAATCTCTTTGCTAAAAATCACTCTCTCGAGTCGATTCTCATATCATTCGAGTTGGCGTGTTCTTGATAGTTCATCTCTGAATCTATCGCACTTTGACACTTTCGAAGAGTGACCAACCCGTTGGGAGTTAAGTTTTGAAAAACATAAATGACAAGTCTCCTTGTCGGCAACTTTCTCAAGTCTACATCTTATGTCATCCAAGTTGACGTGCATTCAATGGCTTATCTCTAAGTCCATGGCACTTTAACACTTTCAAGTGATCAACCAGTCAAGAAGTGTGCTTGGTTTTATAAAAACTTGAATGAAACAATGGAACGTCGTTTACGAAAACACTTAGCTACTTTCGTTTGGTTTGAAAATCTCACATTTCCGTCTCACACCCAAGCTATAAAAGCTTAGCTACTCATAACRGAAWKTAAATTACAAGAAAAATAAATGACGGAAAGTAAAGACATAAACGTAAATTGCATAAAGTAAATGACGAGAAAATAAATAACGAGAATGTAAATGACGGGAATGTAAATGATGAAAATGTAAATTGCGGAAATTAAATAACGGAATGTAAATGACAATAATCGTAAAGGAACGTAAAATAAAGAGCGAAAAATAAAAGACGAGAATATTAAAGAAGAAAAACATGAAGAACTCAAGAGATTACTATAAATCACCCTTGGAGAGGGTTGATTTTAAAACTAGATAATGTTTTGAATGGATGATGAAAATGGAACCTCAAGCCCGCCTTTTATACCCAAAGGAGGCACTAAAAGACAAAAATTATAAAACTTGGAGGTTAAGCATCCTAAGTTAAGTTACAAAGTAACAAAAAAGTAACTAAAAGTACATTATCCTAACAAAAGTCTTAACTACAGATTTTTAACCAAAAACTCAGCTTTTACATCTGTTTTCCACTAGTACAAAAAGGCAGCGTCTTAACCATTAAGCCCTCCAAAAAGCTGCACATTTATCAGATCGTCGCTGCATCAATGCTGTAGCATCCTGTTGTTTTCACAAAAACTTACCATTAGCATCTTCTATGAGTACCAACAAGTCAACCACAATATTTAACTTCATAATAACAAATATATAAAGAAATAAATAAAAATGACTCAAAGTGGGAATGAAAAAAATTTATTCTAACAAATAAGACGTGAAACGAGTGCTTTATGTGTTAAATTCTCAACACATATCACACCCCCAAACTTAAACCATTGCTTGTCCCCAAGCAACCAAAAGAAAAAACAAAAAAGACTCAATTTACACAAAAATGCATGACCAAGGCATTAAGTGCCTACCCAAAGAGAGTTATAGCAACATGATGTTCATAGCTTTTCATAAATATAAGATGAGTCACTCAAAACCAAGTTCTTTGTGTATAAACCATATGTTAGCATTACCCTTTTCTTTGTTAAGTTCAAACACAATCACCATTTTAGGATCAATAGGGCTTATAGGGTTTATTCTCTTTGGCATTTCTTTTCTATCATAGCCTTTTTCTGTTAATACTCCATGTATAAAATTTTTCAAATTTTTGGGCAGTTTGGCCTCTTTTGCTTGGAGTGTGCACATAGTCCCTGTGGGACTTTTGTTGTGCATTTTCATAACATTTTCTAAAACACATAGCCCCTATGGGACTTTTGTTGTGTTTTTCAAACCCTTATTTGTGATAAGCACTCAATTTAGAGCTTTGCTCTTTTGTATTGACTTTTTGTCCTTATGTAAACTCCTCCCCCAAACTTGAATATGACAATGTTCTCATTGGAGATTTGTGGGGTAAACGGTGTTTAAAGAGTGCAAGTGGCTAAAATGATTATAAAAAAGAAGGTCTATCTCATTTCCTAATGGTGATTGTGTGATCAAAGTGTTTTCCCAAAAAGGGTTTTGCTAGTCTTAGCAAAAACAAAACCTTGATTGAATGACAAGTAATCAATAAAGTTATTTGGGCTATGATCTCATGTGCAACATTCCTCAATTCAAGTGATCATGCATAAAAATTAAGACTAAAAACTATAAAAAACTATTCTCGACTCAAAAAGTAAAATATGAAGCTAAAGTAAGGTGGTAGAACCTGTCCTACTCCGAAGGAGTAGGCTGTGCAGTCCGGACAGCCGCGACTGTGATCTCAGCCTTCAATCTCTCGTTCTCCGTCTTGTATCGAATCAACTTTTTCTGCAGCCTCTTGATCTTGTCTGCTGCCCCGTTCTCCAAATCTTCTTTCAGCTTTGCAAACCTCTTCTTCATCTTCTTTTCACTTGCCTTCAACCTGCCAGTCAACTCAGCCTTCATGCTTTCTAACTTCTCTACCATTTCAGCCCGTTGCTCTATGAGGTAGTCCATTATATTTGTGCCATCAACTCCTCCACAGTCCTGGTCATACCTGGTAGCTCCCTTCTCTCTCACCTCTCTCTCTCTTAATCTTGAAACAACCTTCATATCAATGGTCCACTTTTCTTCACACTCTTTAATCACTAAGTCATCAGTGTATTGGGAAACACCCGCCTCTTAAATCACTAAGTCATCAGTGTATTGGGAAACACCCGCTTGCGTAAGCAACTTGTTAATCAAGCCTGGGAAAAATAGTTTCCCTTGTCTTCTTCTTGAACAATAAAGGATGGCTTTTTCTATTATTTCCCCCACATTAAGTGTCTTGCCCATGACCACACAATACAATAAAATAATTCTCTTAACCGAAATGGAACTGTTGTGAGTAGTTGGGTTAAGAGAATGTCTAATAAAATTCACCCACACATTGGCATCGGGTGTCGAGTTAGAAGCCCTGTAAGTCCTTAACATGTAGTTGCTATGGACATCCTAAACTGCCCCGGGCTTCCCAAGTTCCCTACCAATTTCCTCTAGCCTGGCTTGCGAAGCCGATTGGAACAAAATATCAAAATCAGTCTCAGCTGGGGGTGAAAGGCCTAAAAGCTTGTAAATAGCCTTGGCCGAGATACTCACCCAAACAACCCGGACCTTGAGCTTTGTAGTGCTATACACACAAGCTTCCGTGTAAAATTCCCTAATCAAAGATAAATTGAAAGAGTTTTTTACCTCGCACAGTACTTGCCAGCCTTGCATGTTGATCACATCCCGGATAAAACTAAACTCTTCAATGCTTCTCCTATCGGACCCTTTGTCCGACAACACCTTCTTATTTTGACCTTTGCAAACATCAACTGTGCTTCTTCAGAACTAAACCCATCAAAAGGTTGTTGTGGTCTAGGAATGGGTTTATTTTGTAACATCTTATGCGTAGCTTTCACCCGAGAAGGATCGGTTATTTCATCATGTCTTGCCGAAGCCTTTCGGGATGACTTTCTTGGCACAAAAGCTGTGTGCCTTAACTGGACAGAAGGTGGTGTGCTTCTGGTTCTCTTTCTAAGAGGCTGCCTATCCACCGCCTGTGATCTATTTGCAAAAACTCTTCCCAAACTCTTTCTTTTTCTAGTTGGAATAGGTGTCAAATTCCTTATATCAGCCTCTAAATCAACCTCAATGTGTGGGGAATCAATGGCTTCTTCCCCAACATGAGTG